AAATACTGTTATGTTCAGCGGATTCACGACTCTTTTCTTTCGTGGAGGTCTGGAGTTCGTTGAAATATAGAGACAGCTGCAATGAATAAATTGAGCCATTAAAACTTAGAAACTAAAAATTTTCTTTTCTTACGTTAAAAACTAGAGCGAAAAATCTAATATCTCCTCGTAAATATCGCTCAGGAATAAACTAAAAGTTAGTACACGAGCGGCGGGACCAAAAAAACCGGATCTGTGCCCCTCGGATAGCGCGGCTAAAAGAATAATAATAAATATGTGGGTAGTCCCCATTTGAGAGCGTAGGACCGGCGCCAAAACATTTTTTAACGATCAAATCACGGATGATTCTTACGAATCTGCGAATCGTAAAATCTGAAAAATAACACGCGACAAGGAGGAGAAGCATTAGCTAAAAGAAATTAAAAATGATTTATTATTTTTTAAGAAAAAACATAGAACCATTTGAGTTTTATTGTTTAAAAGTAGTTATACAAAATTAGTGCTTCAACGAAATGTATTTTCTGATTATAATTGGCGCAATTTAAAGATTTTACATACTTTTAAATTATTATTATTTTGATAGTTTAAAAAGTTGATTTGGAATAGATTTGGAATAGAAAGTATTTTCTTCAAGAAGCACCCATATAAGCGCGTGTACTTGGCATCTTTTTTTATTTTTTCATTAAAAAGATAATTTTGTCATGATATCATGCATTTTATATTGTTAATCGTATAGCAGCACTAAGTTTTTTTACGATAAAATTATATTGAAATAAATTTTTTTAATTTATACTTTTATCCTTTTTCAATTTTTTGTAATTAAATTTACTGAGTTAGAACAGAAAAATGTATATCATTTAAGTGGAAATAGCAAGACCTTTAAATGAGAATAAAAAAATATGTACTTATATTTTATTTTTAAGAAATGAAGATAAATTTGGAATATAATTTCAAAAAATATATGAAATACATTTTAATTTTTAAAAGAAATACAACAATGTTTAAAAAAATGTATATTATGTTTATAATTGACACAATTTAGAGATTTCAGAATTTTTTGAAAATATTATATATTTGAAATTTTTTTGAAAAAATTATATATTTGAATTGAATAAAATGATACAATTTTCTGATATTGTTATTTTTTTTTTATAAAGATTACGTAAACCCAGATAAAATTATAAATATTTTTAATTTATTATAACCTCGATTTTGATATTAGAATTTTCAAAATGATTTCAGTAATCGTAAGAATGATCTTCACATTCTGTATAAGTATATGGAATTGCTCTATTTGTAAAAAATTAGACAAATCCAATTTGATATATAAATAGTTTATAATTATAAAAAAAAATGTTTAATTTTTAATTAAACTTTTGTTATGCTGAATGTGTAATATTTCATGTTGCAATGTCTTCACATTTATAATTTAGGAATGTTTACGCATTTTTGTATGCATATAGTATCGACTAAAAGTATATCATTTTTAGATTTTTTTTAGAATAACTTGGTTTAAAGTACATATGTGTAGATATTTATAATATATTTTAAATATATTTTAACAATAACTATAGTTTACTATACAAATGACTTTTCATTAAATAATAAAAAGAACACATAATTTGTTATTATTTGTTATATAATTTGTATATTGATTTTTTTATAAAACATTTTATAAATGATATAAATAACTGTTTACACCCAATTAATTTTAAAATATTTCGATAAAACAACGATTATAAATCAGCGGCGTGTTTGTAAAATTAAACTTGAAAAGAATATATTTGTGCATGAAGAAATCAAATTAATCTACACAGTATCGGCCAAAATATATCACGTTTAGAATTTGAAATAAGCCGATGAGAATAAATTTTATTATATAAAAAAAATTCTATTTTTTAGATTTAAAATAAAAATAAGATTAAAATAAAACTCTAAAAAATAAGTTAAACTTTGTGTGCGTGCGTGAGTGTGCGCGCGTAAATAATAAACTTTGCATAAGTAATAACATAATAAGTTTATTTAAATGCTAGCAATACAGTAAAACTAATCAATTGCGTTTCAACATAAAAGATTTTGATGCACGATTTAAAGAATTAAATATTAGGTATACAACTTTGCTTCCGCCGTTTTTCTATAGATGGCTTTAGCGGTAAGTGATGGTCGAAATAAATAGATCATAGACGTCATACAATAAACTTGGGCATCTGTCAACATAACCCCATAGAAACATTAATCGATTTGTGTCTGCATCATAAAGTTACTCTCGATTGAAAA